ACACATTAAAGTGCTTCCTTACCTCTTGCAATGTAGTTTCCTAGAACAGCTTCAAACTAAGATCTCCAGTTTTACAGACAGATGAGTTGTTTAGTAGATGTTCAGTGATCTGTCCTTTAACACCCTTCTTGATAAGCTTAAACATATATTCAAGTCAATATTATCCTACTGATACTCTTTACCAATCACACAATCTAAACAATGCTTTATGTAGTAGCAGCATTTCCTGGGAACAGTAAATAAATTGTTTCCTGGGGATAACAGTAGCACAGTGGTTAGAAAACCCAACTCAGGAAATGACAAGCTCGCATTCAGGTTCACTACAGAGCGTTAGGAAAGGCATCCAGTGTTAATTCCTCCTCCCCAAGCTGCCTGCGTCCAACACCATTCAAACTGGGAGTTATAGTGACACATTAAAGGGTAAACAATATTGAGCCAGAGGTGGAGGGAGTGAGAGGAAGAGGGAAACCACGAAGACGATGGGATGACTGTATACGGGACGACTTGAGAGAGAAGGACCTCAGTGGAGAGGAAGCATTGGACAGGAGAGAGTGGAAAAGGCTGATAAGAAACCGTGACCCCATATCGATATGGGAAAAGCGAGAAAAGAAGAAGATTAAAGGGTAAACAATTTTGTAAATTATCTTCAAAATTCATCAGTTGGTTTCCTATGGCTTATTTTGTCTCATGGTTCATTGCTAGAATAACATCAGATTTCATGCACCCCTCAATCTTTTTCAGTCTCTAGAGACTTTAACGTAAATCTCCTCTAGAAAAAATAACATTTTATAGGCTTATTATCACCACTGTACATCACCTCACAAGAACTTCCCATTTTGTTAATGCATATAATTTATCTAAGTTTGTTATTCACATAATATTGATCCATTGTATTATCAGTAACTGATGTTAACTCACTTTATTATTATGCTATGGACGTCGTGGTATCTCAGTGGTTGCAGCGCTTGACTCAGAAAAGGACAAACCCTTGTTCGATCCCACCGTGAGTCATTGTGGAAGCCATCCAAACTTAATTCCCCAGCCTAAGCTGTATGTGTCCAGCCCCATTTGAATGGGGATTTATAGTGACATTAAATGGCAATAGAGGCAAACTATATTATTCCATTGTCAGTACAGGGAGTCCCTAGGTTATGCTGTTCCCGAGTTACGATGTTCCGCTGTTACAACAGAGGCCCATAAATTATTAATAAATTTTTAAAAAATAAATTTTTCGACCTCCATGGCTTGTGTGGTAATTACAAACTTCGTGTGGTGAACACTTTGTGAATATGGTGGACGAATACACAACTAGCAGCACTGCTTTATTTGTATATATAAAATTAATGGCTTTACATATATACTGTATTTGTTTATATATATATATATATATATATATATATATATATATATATATATATATATATATATATATATATATATATATATATATATATATATATATATATATATATATATATATATATATATATATATATATATATATATATATATATATATGCATAACTACTAATAAAGGAATAAAAAGATTCTCAAGTCTCCCCTCTTTTGAAGTAACTAGATCACTTGTAACGGGGAAAGTCGGCTAAAAGAAGAGACAGTTAAGAATGTAGGTACAAGATGAAGAAATCCATAACAAGGAAATTATATTTGGAAAACAACACCTCACGAAGCATGACCTTGTCATGACCTTGAGGAGGGTTTTATGGGTATACTGAAGCTTAGCAATAGCAATATATTCATACTATTACTTTTGGGGAAGGTAATTGTTAAAAATTCCATTAATTTTCACTTGGGTACATTTTTTTTTTAAGGTTCCATCAAGTGGAATCCATAATCTGATTGTAATAATAAAATGTTTTCTACACAAAAGAAAACGTCATAAACGTTGAAGTTCGTGATGTTTACATTCATTAAATAACAAAAATGTGATTAATACAAAAACCGGCAAAAATTGACGTCATAAGAAAATCTAGGGGGAGAGAAATCGATTCTAAATGATTGTAGGTGAGGGGACGGAAGAGAGGGGAGAATGATAAAATCATTGATGATATGTAGGGGAGGGATTTGCAGGTAGACTACCGAGGGGGGAGGGTTACGAGAGAGAGAGAGAGAGAGAGAGAGAGAGAGAGAGAGAGAGAGAGAGAGAGAGTAGGGTGCTATGACAACCACCCCATGCACACATTCCTGCCTTGGTTTATATCAGGTGTGTTCAAGGCCTGTTCCAGTTCGACTTTGGAACCGTCACCTCGAAGAGCTACTGGCAACCCTCCCTCAGTTTAATCACATTAATATACTTTTCAACGTTTATTATAGATTAATTTCAACACTGTACAAACTTAATTGGTCCGGGAAAATCGTATAATTTGACCCCTGGCTTTTAGTCAGGCGGTAAAAAGTTTATTTAATTTAGGTGAGTATTATATTATTTGTGTCCTCTATGAGAATATTTTATATTGTGTGAATTTTGCTATTTTATCAT